TTAAAAAAAAAAAAAAAATGTCACTTGTTTCTTATCGGACAGTGTGTAATATACTTGGTTTTTTTTTTTTTTTTTTTTTTTTTTTTTTTTTTTTTTTTTTTTTTTTATCGCAGGAATGAAAAGACACGGTAAACTTTTTCAATCACACGTGCAGTGTAATGGAGCATAATAATTCCCGATCTTGTACTAGTAGGTACTCTTTTGAGCACATGAATGATAAAATTTAAAATGGAAAGTTCAAAGAAAATTATTCGCTCGTTTTGAATCTCAAACTGATTTTAATTGATTTCGTGAGACTTGAAATTATATTTTCGAACAATATTATAAAAACAATTCATTCTTGACTATACTATACTTCTGTATGAAGTCTGAATGACATTTACGCAATAAAGTACGGCTCTTTGATCATAGTGTGATAACTGATTTGCATAAACTGTCTCACTGGTCGAATTTAAACAAAGGATCGATTGATCTGTCACTAAATATACGTACAGAGCATAATAATTGCCAATCCGATTAGTACGAGCATTTAAATAATAAAAGTTACAGAGTAAAGTTGAAATATTTCAATTTTTGGGTAAATAATGATTTCAGGTTGATAACGATCATTTGAATGATAAAAGTTACAGTATGAACTTTAGATTGATTTAAAACCGATTTCATCAGATTTACAATACATATTGATTTCAAATGCAATTTAATCCCGTGGTATGATAACGATTTTCATGAAGTGACTCGCGTAGATGTGAAGGATCGACTGACCTGTCGGTCGTGGGGTCGCGCTCGAGGTCGATCATCGTGTCCCGGTAATCGTCGTCGATGACAAGAAGCTGGCCCTCGAGGACACCTCCCGCGCCGTTGCAGCCGTGCGCCGTTTCCTCCTGGTGTTGTCGTCGCTGTTGGCCCGGGGCGAGCCTAGGCCGGCATTTCGGAAACAGGCGGTTCAGATCGGCGTTTTCCAAAATCAGGCTTGTCATCGCCTGTGACCGATTTTTCCGCCGCTGCGACTCGATGCGACTTGCCTCTTTGATAACGATAACGATTTTCGTTGCCGATCTTTGGATTGGCGCTTGTGGAGTTTGTGGCGCTGCTGGTAGTGGTGGTGCTTCGACGAGCGGGACCGAGCTCGCCCACACCCGGGGCGGCCCGGTCGCGTTTTCGCGAGATCCATCAGCATCCTGAAAATCATTTACCTACAGTTGATGGTTTGTGACGATTTTTTTTTTTGCTTGAACGCGTACAAAAAGAACTATATTATTTTTTTTGTCTGTAACTGTGTTGTGGCAGTGCTGGTGTTTCATGTTGCCAGCAAACTTTGGCACTATTGCTTCATAAACCTGTAAGTACTTATTTTTTGTCTGATTAAAGGGCGCTAATTTTGTTGAAGACAATTTTAATCCTCAACTATTCGCTGTAAGTTTTTTTATAAATCAAATATTGAATTAAAAGAAAAATACTTTGACACGTTTTTCTCTTTAAATTTCTTTTTTTTTTTGTAATGCATTGTTCTTGCTGTAAAAATTATTTTAACCAATGGTACTTTAAAAGAAAGATTTTTTTTTTTTTAGTATAAATAATGCATTACATTATTAATACATTGAAAAAGTATCCGTGCCAAAGTCTGGTTACGAGGGAAGAAATCACTTTCAGGGTATGATGAATAAGTTATACGAAATGTTCATAGTTTTATGGGACAAATTGCGTGGATTGACAATAAATGTTAAATACAATTTTTTCGTGCGCATGTAAAAATTGTGAAAAAAAAGAAAAAACCGTCCCTCCAAGTTCATTTTTTTTTTTTTTCACTGTCGTTTCAAAAAATCGACACATACTTTGGCACGGATATAGTTTCAATTTTTTTTGCAATATATACTTTTTCCACCTAAAACGTACAATGTATTATTTGTGTTAAAAAAATTATCTCCATAACTAAACTTATAACACAGTGTTAAAAAAAATCACCATTTGAAAGAATAATCAAATTGGAAAAGTTGTTAGTCAAAATTAAGTTAAAGAAATTATAATCTTCATATTATATACTAAGTACGGATGAATGAAAAAGTTTTTTCAACGTAAAAAATGCACTTTATTCGGGAGAAAAAAAAAGGAAGAAATTTTTTTTTGAAAATATAGAAAAAAAAAAAAAACGCACAAAACAATCGTACCCAAGACCGACAATCGATGCATCAATTGCGCGCTAATCATTTTATTACGAGTAAATTCACGTGAACACGAGATAAGGTACGTTGCCTCGCGTATATAACATATACGGCTGCGTAATCCCTCGATCGTCGGTCCATACCGCGAGTCACACGAGGAAACACTAAAAGAACCCTTTCGCCTCCCCTCAATTGATAATTGTGCACTTGCAACTTGTTTTTTTTGCCCTTTCGGCGTTTTTTTTTACTCACTTGTATAGTCAAGCTTTGTTTTCCGAGCATATGCACACCCGACCCTTCCATCCCCGGAAGCAGGTATATACTTTCACGAGTACAATTATAATTAAGTAACCCATCTGGTGTGAGCCTCCATTTTGATATCCTTCATATACCACAATTTGCGAAGGAAAAAAGAAAAGCTAATCTTTATAAAAAAAAGCAAAAAAAAAGGGAGATGAGACGAAAGGATTGCGTGTAGAGGGGCGGAGGGGGCACGTAATCGATACCACGACGGCGGGGCAAATTTAATATAGCTGTAAGCGTCGTCCTCGTTGCGGGGATTAATCGAAGCGGCCGTTATAAGTTGGCGTGCCAAACGAAGAGAGAGTGTCCTTTCGAGTTGGAACCGGAGCAGAGCGTGTCCCGGGATTATCGTCCAATTACGCAAATGAGCTTTCTACGCCCGACTACACAACTGACGACGACGAATTAGATGGTCCGCGAGCGCGTGCCATGTATATGTTACGTGCATCACATCAGGGACAATATCAAAGGGGATATGTCTGGCTTAACTCTCTCTCTCTCTCTCTATTGACTGACTCTATGCAGCCCCTGTGATTTAATGAAAATACGCACTGAGAGAAAAAACAATGGGTAGAGAAATTTCAGCAAAAGTTGCCATTTCGCACAGTAAATCGGGTGCAAGTTGGAAGAAATAAAGAAAAGAATTATTATTTTCAACTGTAAACAAGTTATATGGTTACAACGGTAAAAATTACTTTACGAGAAAGTGAAATTTATCATCCGGTACTTTTCAGGTTTGCTTGTTTAGAATGGTCATTTTTACCGTTGTAACCATATAATTTTTACTGTTAAAACAATCATCTTTACCGTTAAGAAAAAAAAAAAAAAAAAACTTGCATCCGATTTACTATGCGTAATGGTAATTTTTGCTGAAATTTATCTATACATTTTTACAATTGTTTTCTCTCGGTGTATAGTGATCTCTGTTTTTTTTTTTTTTCTTTTTTTGTATATTAAGTTTTGCTCTCAAGTTTTTCATATTTCTTTTTTTTTTTTTTTTCACATCTTTATACAATTATAATTCAAGTATTGCAATTACTCGGTCTTTTTTAACTCGTTCTTTCGTTTAAAATTTTTGTTTGTTTGTACTCCATGTGTCCATCAGTTTGACATGCCTGTGTACCACGTAACTGAATTGATTAACTCGCCATCCCTTACGTAAGTATTTCTGCGAGTCCCTATATATTATTATTACTGAAGAATCTAATCTACAAGTACTTCGGAAGTATATTCAAGCTGGACGAGTTTGTCCGGGTACACCATACATACGTGTATCGCGAGCTTGAGTAAGTTACTTTTGGCTAGCATTTATTTCTCCAACGTATACGGTGTATGGGCAAGAGTCCGGTAGGGGTTTTTTTTTTTTCCCCTCGCAAGTTTCGACGAGGCGTGTGAGCATTAGACGAGTGAGCTGAAAGTTTTTGAGTGACAAAAAAAAAAAAAAAAAAAAAAAAAAAGGAGACGACGAAGAAGGAAAAAGCAACCAGGTGCTCGGGGCTCGAGAGTGCTGTACGCGGCTCTTTGAGTGGAGAGGAAAGACCGGAGGCGCCGGGTATACCACCTAAGAGTACATATATATACATACAGTTTGCACGATCAACCGGCCGCGAAACCGTGTGTGCCCTAATACTCTTTCTGCAGTAAGTACGGAGGATTTTTTTTTTTATTATGTGCCGCACAGTGACCACCTCCTTCTGTAGCTGTTTTTTTTTT